AAAGTTTTAGTTGTATAATTGTGTATTTATTATAAAAATTAAGCGTTGTCACTTTTCACCAACTTTTAATAACCTCAAATTTAAGCTCAAATGAAATATATAAAACAAATAATTATCAGATATATTCAATCAATATGATCATTTTGTCTTCTGAGTCAAAACTATATAAATACTTTTTTTACTCTTTTATTGTTGTTGAGACCTCTCACTTCTTATATTGTTTACCCATAAATAAGACTAAATTAGATGCTATGTTTGGACACTAAATCAATTATTTTTATGTTGTATACAAACTATGAAAATAAGTGTTCATCTCATTGTACAAAATAAAAATTTATGTCTGTACATATCGAATTATTTTTGTTATATTCTTTAAAGTTGTATTTTTTATTTTTATAATATTATATTGAAAAAATAATCGAGATGATCATCGTCAATGTTAGGTCAATAGCTAAAATTTATTTTGCAAAAAATTGAAGATAATTTTAACTAACTTATTGTTTAGAAATAAAAAATTATTTTCACATATCAATAATTAAATATTTAATAATAATATATAAGTCTAAAACAATAAAAAGTAAAACTAACAATTGTGATGTATGATAAGGAAAAAAATAGTTGTTGCATTTATAGTAAGTTGTAGGAACTTTATATGTCGCAATGATTCGATAAAGATGATACATTGTCATTATTCTTAATAAAACAACATATGATATAGAAAAAAATATAAAATTTACCAGTTATTCATTCAGAAATTATAGTTGTATAATTATGGACCAATTAAAAAAATTAATAAAGACAAAAACTCTATGCTCGTGTGTTAAGTGTGGACTCTTCAAGATTTAAAAAAAAAATACTAACTAAAACAAAAAAAAAAATACCAAAAACTAACGTGAAACGATCTAATGGCTAATATATGATTGAAAATTCATTAAAAAAAATGAACGATATATATGCAAATTTTTTTCCAAGTCTTCACAATCAAATCCATGAGTGTTATATCTCTTTGTTTGTACGTTATGATTTGTGGATTTTTTTTTCCTTTATACAATATTAGTTCTGAAATATTAATCTAGTGTTTATCTATAAAATACAATCAAATTTTATGTCATTTTTTGAATTCTATGATGTCTTTTTTTTTCCCCTTTTGTTTTCATTGCTTTCATATTCATGGTTTATTGGTGATATAAACTTAAATCATATAGCATTTTTTACTCAAGTAAAGATTATTCAACATTTTTTAGATCCATTTCATATGGATATGAAAGATTATCATCCCCAAAGATTATAAATGATATTTTTTCTTCAAAATACATCTCTTTTAGTCGAATAAACTATGTTTATATATGATAAATATAACATCATTATATTTTATCTCACTATATTTGTATTGTATTTATTATTTTAAAAAATATATTATAAAAAAATAAACAAAATATGATACTTGAGGTCTAAGTTCGCATTTCTGTTAAAAAAGAATGACACATTGACTTGACTAACTCTTACTTCAGCTCGCATCAAAGTTTGTAAATGATTAGATTTTTTGCAATTTAAATTAAAGATCTTGTTTGGGAATGAGGTACTCAATGTAAATAATTTAATGATCACTTGTAATTTTATAGAATTACTTAAAGATATAAAATAATACAATATTAGATTAATAAGAGATGGTTACATATTTTCTTAATGTGTATGTAAATTCCATCAATATAGAGTAATATATGTTTCAAATGTGGTATGGTGCTACTATTAAATATGTTTATGAAAACATATGAACATGTATATGTTAAAATAAACTATGCCGAATTTAAATTGACATATCAAATCTAAAAATTTATCTATATATATGCATATAGATGCCAAATTAAAAACTATAAAAATATTTATTTTTTATGTTACATATACATATCATATTAATTAGTTATGATTTTTTCTATTTTTACCTTGAAATATACCCAATATAACCGAAAACATAATATTGTGTTTGATGTTCCAATATAATTAATAAATGATTTTAAATAAACATCAGACTTTAAATTTTATTTTATTGATTAATAAAATAAGATTGATAATTATTATAAAAAAAATACAATATATAAGGAAAGGAACTCATACTCGCAAACGGGAAGAGAGACAGATAATAAATGAGATATTGGGATGAGATTCATAATAAATAATTATGTATAATATTAAACATTATTTGTAACAAATAATTGATTATGAAAATAATATATAATGGGAATTTGTAAAATAATTGATTATGACTAAAATAAGTATTTATTTATGACACGTATATATATAATATTGTTTGAACGGTAATAATACATAGAAATCAACAAAATTTATTTCCTGGTAATATATGTAGTTAAAGCATTTATTTAGTCAAGAAAATTTGAAGTGCAAATTTCAATAAAATTATAATATAATTAATTGTTTATATGACATAAATATTTTTTTGTTGATAAATCATGCATAAGAATTGATAAAATTTATTACAATATATTAAATGTGGACCTATAAAACAAATACTTATTATAAAAATATTTTTACAAAAATATGTTCACTGTTAGACCTATAAAACAAATTTTTTACCCCATTAGGAGATTATTATGATTAATTTGATTGAAAATAAATACATTAATTTTTTTTTTTAAGTTTGAAAATTGTTTTAAAAAAGTAATTTCGTATTTGTCAAGTCAAAGTGTACATTATCACATTAAGAAAAAAAAAAAAAGATAGAAAAATATTAGGAGCTAGGCACGCATCCCTGATACGTGAAACAAAAACTTATGTATTAATTGTTCCCAAATTTGATACTAAGTGGAAATTTAATGCAAATTTAAGAGAAGACTAGTTATTAAATAATGTGCAAATTTTTAATACATATTTTGGGCGGAAATTTGCAGCTGCTTTGCTTTAATATATATATAGATATCAAACGGTCAAAAAATGAACGGCGTCGTTTTGATTACCAACGACTTGGCCTCCTACCAATGAAGAGCCACGTGTCAAAAAATGGACGCTAAAAGATAAATATGAACAAGTCAGCGGAAACTAAAGTAAGTGATTAATTTGGATGTAAGTGATTAATTTAGAAAAAATAAATAAAAAATGAAAAATAAAAAATTATGAACAAGTCAGCTGAAAGTAAGTGATTAATTTGGATGTACAGTCAGCCCTTAGCTTATAGTTGCTACTGTGAACGGCATTACTTTTTCAATACCAGGGCGGGCTAGTAACAACAACATTAATATTAGTAGTATCTTAGAGACTAGATGCAAACAGTTAATCCAATATTTTTTTTTTTTTTTTTTATTTATTTTCATACTAACTTAGGTATATGTAAATTAGAAACAGATGTATCGTTCGTAGATATTTACTTGACTTTTACTATACTTTTGTAATCAATCTTTCTTTTGATCAACCTATACAATCTATTGTTCCATGCTTATTTGCATATTAAGCATATATGCGATATTATGATTTTTTTATCTTATAACCTAAAGAACCTTATTAATTAAATGAAGTTAAGGAAAAAACATTCTAATGAGCTCTTTTTTTATAGAATTTTCTACCCATACGATCACTTTCTTTTTCTTGGCTAAAGTTAAACAAAGTAGCATCTATACCATTCAATTTACATTCAATTTACTAATAGTAAAGGTACTCCACAGAAACAACTAATAACTTGAAGGAAATCAAAATAACATATGTACAGCTTTTAAAAAAAAAATATCACTTACCAGCACAACAAATCACCACCGAACGTACGAAATCGCCAGTTAAGCAAGCATCTACTGCAAAAGAACAAATATATAGAGATTTTAGAACGACACTAGTAAAATCAGCAACCTGGACAAACTCTATTGTAACTTTTACAATAGAACTGTAACTAGCTAAAAACGCGGCGATCTACTCAACATGAATAAATAAGCCTCTAGATGCCCATTGAGCGTCTATGGCTTTCAAGGAATGTACACAAAAACATATTTCGTGATACCAAAAGAGTTGCGAACAAACACGGGCATGGTTTTTCCACATTCGTCTCCACTTGAATTCTTTTCCCTTCTTTAAGCTTGAATAGTACGCGCAGCCATCACCAGAACCTTCGAGAAACCATACACGACTAGATTTTCCCGACCCAAAGTGCAGGTTTTTTTATCAAAAAA